AGAGAGAGAGAGAGCTGTGTGTGTGTGTGTGTGTGTGTGTGTGTGTGTGTGTGTAGAGAGAGAGAGAGAGAGAGAGAGAGAGAGAACCTTTCAAATGGAAAATGGGTCATTTCCTATAATGAGGATAAAATGAAGGTGTTAAGGAACAAAATACTAAGTTCATAAACGTCGTATCAATTGAAGGGACAAAAATACCTGTTTATTTATTATAAGCACCCATACAATCATCAAATGAATGATGCACACATGAGACGTACACATCAATATGTACAAGAGAGAACAGGCACAAAGAGGCATGTACAATTGTAAGAAAAAAACATTAAGAGAAAACATAAGAAAGAAGAAGAAACTAGAAACAAGGTCATTGGAGAAAGTAACAACTAATCCCCAAATGACAAATGCACAAGCATGCCACTATAAAAAAAAAAAACAACCAAAATCCAAACAACCAACAGAGAACCCTGAAAAACTTGTTTGCACCTATTCCAAGAAGAAATTAAACATGTCACGTCAGATCTGAACCCAAAAATCAAAATCCAACCCTAATTCACCAGATCCCTCCAATCATCTACAGTCAAACATGATCATCTTAGATGAACACCGTCCATCTCATTAAACTAAAATATATAATCACAAAGTATTCTGCAAATCAAGGATACATGATAGAGGATATGGTACATGTAAAGCCATATCTTCAGAAAATAACATGCCAGCACACACACAGAGGGAACCTCAAATATTCATCTCAGAACTTTAAAATGAATCTCAGATGAAGATCACAGATCTCAATAAGACAAAAGACATTACCCTATGCAACTAATCAAAGTTCCAATTACATAAATATATAAAGAACCCAAACCTGAATAAAATAACACACACAACGAGATAGAGAGGCAAGAAAGGATGTAAAAAAGGGAGAAAGAGTGTGTGTGTGTGCGGCAGTTGAAGGGTGCGTTTGGGGTTCAGATTCGCACGAGACATAAGTAGATAGAGAGAAAACCTCAAATATTCACTTTAGATGATCACTGGCACAGAGAGAGGGAATCTAGAGAGAGATACCTGGATAGAATCCATGAAGCAAAACAACAGTAATACATCAAAGAAGCAAACCTAAAGCCACATACACATCGAGATTCTAGAGAAAGAAACACAGACATAGAATTAGAGAGGGGAGCGAGGTTTTCCGGACCTGGCTGAATTTTAGGGCATGCTGCTCCCCTGCCAGCTGGAGGTTGCCACTGACGAAGACGATGATCGAGTTGGGATGCACAGATGGCTGGGAATCGATGGTGGTGATGGAGTGCTGGCACTGTTGAAAGGGGAGACTCGTGAGCTTGGTGACAATGTTCTGAGCTCCCTGAACCTTCTGGCCCTCGAACGTGAGCATGGAGTTGTCCTGGTAGAGAGAGGCTAAGCCTGCCCTATTGGTGTCGAAGGTGGAGTAGTAGTGCTCCACGAAGGCTCGAGCCACCACGTCCGTGTCCATCGAGCCCACTTGCTGGTGCTGCGCTACAACGAGAGAGAGCGAGAGAGACAGAGGACACAAAAGCACTGGAAGGGAGAGAGGAGAGAGAAAGAGCGAGAGATCCGAAGCAGGGTTGCGTGGGAGAGAAATGGGTGGTGGTGATTGGGGTTTTATATTGTCCGACGGGCCTGCTTTCTCTCTCTCTCTACGCGTCGCTCTCTCCTTCTCTTTTTTAGTTTTTCTCTCTTTTCAGGTAGCCCCAGATACTACTAGATCCATTTGATTTGTATCCGGGGATTTTAATGGGGCTCTAAACAATAAGAAGAGCGTTTAAATAGTGAAAATTTTTGTGATTGCGTTAGAAGCACATTTTCATCTCAATTAGAAAATTTAAAGCTTAAAAAATGATGTAGATCAAGCCTACCTATAAAAATTTAAAAATCTTCGAAATTTGTTGTAATTTGAAGATATTTGAACATCAAAACAACCTCGTGAAATTTCTAAGGTGGGCTCTAATTTGATTGTTTAGAGCATCGGCTCTATATAAACTTTTTCTTGATTTTTTGAGTGCGGTTTGTATAGAGCTTAGGTTCTAAACAATCAAATTAGAGCCTACATTTCAAATTGTGTTTAGAAATGTGGTTTCAATACTGGAAATCTTTGGTTTCAATATTGGAAATCTTTGAGATAGCTGTAAAATATATTTTTATATTTATTTATAAAATTTAAAGCTTTAAAAGTAATGCAGATCGACATATCTATGGAAACTTAAAAATCTTGAAAATTGACGTTCCAAATATGCGTTACAAATTACACTATTTTCAAAATTTGAAATCCATTTCTTTCTCATGTCCATGCATCTTGATGCGGAGATGATCAATTTAAAGATATTTGGGCATCAAAACAACCTCTTCTAGTGAAAATTTTAATGTGAGCTCAAATGTGATCGTTTAGAGCGTCGACTCTATATAAACTTTTCACATTTTTTAATGGTTGTGTTATAATATATTTTCCGGTACCATATGGTTTATATTTGTTTTGTTTGGCGTTGACTTAAAATCCACGCTTTCATTGCTTCCTCTCTCTCTTCACTCTCACTTTACCCTCCGTTAGGGGGCAATGGGTCAGCCCAGTCGACCTAAGATTAGGTCCTAGGCACAAGTTGTGGATCGAGGGCTGGGTTAGCGCGGGCAACCACGTCTCAAGGGTAGTACTAGGTTGGATTTGGGTTAAGGCCGGCTCGTTTCGACCCAACTCAGCTCTGATAGGGCTAGGGCTGGGCTTGGACTAACGCCTCTTTGGTCTGGTCGTGGGCTTGAGCTGGCTCTATAGAGACTAGGCTAGGCTAGGGCCAAGGCAGGCCTTGCGTGTTGCCGGCCCTACTCCCTTCCACGATGTCAAATTTCGCTCTTTCATCCTCTCTCAATCTCCCCCTTGATCTCTATCAATGATCTGAAAAGTGTCTGGTTGACACGGAATCTCTCTTTTTTTATAAAGAAATCAATCACCCCGTTTTAATTATGTGTATATATAGAAAAATGGTCGAATCTACAAGAGAACCGATTATGCACATAAAAACAACAATTCTTTATAGTAAAACAAGATCTGCACCGTCGATTTACCGATCCGGATTGTTTTTAGCCGGTTCATTGTTTTTACACTTTTCTTTTTCGCCAGTTCGCTATTTTTCCCACATCGTAAAATGGCAATCCAAACTATTTTCTCGCATAGTAAACTGGCAATCCAAATTGCCGATCCACCAATACAAATCGATTTTTGAGATGTCCGATTCGGGTCATCGATCTGACTTTTAAATCCTTGGTCTCCATGTTACGTTTCACTCTGGATATCTCTTCGATGTTAAGCCTTTCTCTCACCCTTTCCCTCGTGTTTTGTGTTATCGGCGGAGCATTTATTCCGTTCACTTTTGCCTCTCAAATTTTATACAAGTGTTATTTTTAGGCCAAATTTTAGAACATGACCTCTTTAACCTAGAAAACTCTATCCAAAACAAGGAATTTATTTTTAGCCCCTCCAAATTATACAACACAGTCTCTTTAACCTAGTTACCAATCCAAAAAAGGAATTTAAAACACGTTTTGTATGTGCCTTGGAGAACATCCTAGTATTAAATAGGGACCAATTCAATTTTTAGATGGTCTTCTAGGCATTTATCAGCTCAAAACTCAATTGCATTTATTTATGGTGATTCTTAAGTGGATCTCAAAATTTTGGATTGACAAAACGTCCGAGGGAGCAAATTGTAAAATATGGTCCCACAACAGCATGTTACATTTGTAGATAGCATCTCCCGCCCTCTTTTTCTCCGTCACTAACTAGCATTAGGGGTGGGAATTGGGTTGGGTCAACACAACTAGGTTTGGGTATTGACCCAAACAAGGACCCGACAGGTCGGGTTTGGGTCCGCTTGACCTGAGCACAATGGGGTATGGGTCTGGGTCCAAGTACAGCTTGGATCCTATCGGGTCAATTCAGATCTAGTTTGGCACCAACCCGACTAGCCCCAACCGGAATATATCAGTATAAATTACATATAAATAGTAACAATAATATATAGTAGAAAATATGTACAATAGTTTATATTTTCTATTTATAGAGCCAGATCCAGCCTGACTCGGTGGGTCAGGTGGACCTGAGCGGGTCCAAGTCTAACTTAGACCTAGTCGCATCTGGGTCGACCCCATCCCAGCCCCTTCCTACCCCTACTTAGCGTGTCTACCCTTCTCTTAGACGCACCCAACATTGACATTAGAAGGGTGCATGCCATAGTGGAACAAACGAAGTGACAGAACTCCCTTGTGTTTTAACCGCTTGGATCAAGTTCAGTGTTCTTTTAAAGACTAGAGCATCTCCTTAACTGCTTGGACAACTGAGTTTCATCATAATTAAGCTCAGAAATCACTTCCTTAACTACGGCTATGGCAACAACTCTGAAAATGGAGGAAATGTGAAAAATCACCATGTGCCAACTTTGCTTATAGGATCCTCACAATTCAATGATCACCTGATATCCAGCTTCTCTGCAGGAGAGACAATGGATAGAGGTTTCAAACTTGAACCTTTCATAAACAATTTTGGTTATGTTTCCTGGTGAATTTTGAGGCATGAGATGCTCTCGTTTTCTTCAAGATATTAATCACCCTCGACTCTGAAACTATAGGATACAATAAGTACAAATAAACATACCAAGTGACATGTTCGTTAAAGTTTTATGAGGCACTCGCTAAGAAACTTATGGGGAATATAAAGGCCAAAGCAATTTGCTCTTTCGGATGGAAAAGGATAACGATTCTATTTCAGACTCAGTAAAACAAATTCCAAAAGAAATGGTAGAGAAAATACTGAGTTTCATGGGTTTATCAAGAAGCTGAGGTCAAAATCCGCAACCTTAGAGTTTCGGCGCACAAAGGTAAAAGAAAAATCTCTCCATCAATATGAAATCCGGGTATTTATCGGTATCTAACTCAATAGGCAATCTATTGTGAAACAATGAAGCAGGTGGAAATAGTCATGTTTGGATTTGGTGAAAAACAAGCAATAAAGCTCAGTGAGTGTAGCCACCTTAAAAACTTGGATGTAGTCAGCTTAAGCACAGTTAAAAGCCATGAATAGAGCAAGGGCTTTTAAGTGTTTGCTATTTCAATTTGGGCAAGAAAACTTAAAAAATATATCCAAACCGAGTCGAAGAGACAGGGCAAGCTCTGGTTAAAAATGTGTTGATCGGACACGCAAAAACAAAGATCTTTGTGATTAGCTCACAAAACTCCCCATAACTTTTCAAGTTGGTCTGAAACACCAATCAAAACTAACTATATCATGACTTTCCAATTTAAGGTGAGATTAATGTAGCATAGCATATTGCATTTTCTTGATGATTAATGAAATAAAGTATTGTTATGTTACTTTAATGATGTATTTTCCTTTTATGATTAATAGAGTAATCTTATGTTCCAAGAAAAGGATAAGCGTATTTTCTTTTGTAGTACATATTTAAATTAGCAGGCTTTAACTTGTAGAGGAAAAAATATTGCTCAAGCATGGCTCATATGGCATTGTTTACTGCCTTCAATTTGAACCTTCAATGAACCTTTAATTTGAACCGTGATTTGAACTCAGTTGACGCCGTTATTATGCATCTTTTAAGGGTGGGAGATCTTTAAATGTACTGCCTTCAATTTGAACGCGTTATTATGCATCTTTTAAGGGTGGGAGATCTTTAAATGTACGGCCTTCAATTTGAACCGTGCATCTTTGAAGGGTGGGAGATCTTCAAATGTAAATGAGAATTTGCCAAGAATGATGCTCTTAAGGTTGAGGGGCCTTTAAGGGTGCAGTCCTATCATTGGAAAACCTTTAAATCAGTCATCTCAACTTTGACCATTATGGTTGTGACAAAAATTAAGGTTTCAAACCCTAAAAATAATGTATATTATAATACCTTATCTAGACAACCATTTTCAAATGTTTACGGATCCACAAGATCTATGCTATTTTTAGAGCCACAAATTTCTTAAAACCTTATCTAGACCGACTCTTTTCAAATGTTTATAGATCCGACAAGGTCTATACTATTTTTAGAGCCACAAATTTCATAATACCTTTTCTAGACCGATTATTTTCAAATGTTTATGGATCCGCAGGATTTATAATATTTTTAGAGCTACAAATTTCATAACCTGTAGTGGATATTGATTTTAGAACCATCATAGAAACTTATCATAGAAACTTCCCATGCTCAAAAGTATTTTCCCGAGGAAGTTTCGAGGTGGCTCTTTACTTCGTGTTTTAAGGCCTCGGCCCTATAAAAACTGCATCTAGGAAGGAAAGGTTAAGTGCCAATGGTTAAAAAGTCGCCATATAAGCGTTTAAGCAAAAGATTTAGGGATGCTCCACCATTTTTTATCCCATGATATCTTAGGAATTAACTCTCAAACAACTCTCTTAAATGTCCTGGATACATAGGTAATTAGTTTCTTAAATAATATGGAGATGAACCAATCTTTTCTCAGGCCAACTTATTAAGGAAACTGTTGCATTATAATTCAGGATAATACATGAGAGAGAGAAAGAGGAAGGGAGGGAGATGGGTTTTTCTCAGATGAAAGCAACAGAACTCAGGACCCCATGTGAGTTGCAGTGATGGAAAGAGTCCATGAACTCAGGATTTTAATGCAACTCGCAGATAGAAAAGGTGGGTTGTCTCAAACAAGGAACAGGGTGCAACACCACCATAAACTAATGTTAACCAGGCTGTTGTCTGCCTGTATGGACCACACTAAGACACCACTTTCAGTATACAGAAAAAAATGAACCGAAATCAGTACCCCAGAAAGATATTGCATCTTCTCAATTCAGTCATCACCACTAAATTGAATCTATTGGCAATTCATTATATGTACATGTATATCACCGTGAAACATAATTACCAAAAAGTAAAGCATCATGAGTTATAAGGCTTCTTTACCAATACTATACAAAATAATGGAAGCTTCACAAATACATAATTCAATTGCTCACATTTCTTTTTGCAGAGGATCAGCGCAGAAGGAAAAAAAGCACCACATCCTTTTTCATAAGATGGATTTTCCTTTGAATCATTTCTCTATAAAGCATGATAGTCATATACATCCATTGACCATCTGCAGCTTTGTCCAATCCTGAGTTCATCATCTTCTAAAATCGAACTTCCAAATTATGATTTATGCTGTAATGGGTTCCCTTTCAACTTGGGGACTCGAGCCATTGAATCGGACAAGCGATCTTTACGGCAAAAGAATGCTAGATTAAATATCTCATACACAACGGACAGCATGGTATCTACTCCAAGAAATATGACTGTACAATCGAATTAGTTCCAGCATAGTTCCCGATGAGTCCAGAGCCTCCATCACTGAAACAAGTAGCAAACACTATATACATCATGGTTTGGATGTAAAAGGGCTCTGATCATAGGAATCTTCAAAAGTTTGATAAACACAAATAAGTATGTAGATTTGTAGAAATTTTCATAAATACAGGCAAGACATTCATACATATAGACTAGTAAATTAGCCTGATATTTCTCTTTTTTCACAATTTGGTCAGAAAGAAAAGTATTGATCAACTACAGAACATTTCAAGATTAGGAACAGTTTTTGAGAAACTGAAATTGGCACACAGGATGGTAAGGCTAATCTAGGTAGAAGCAGCCCTTTGGGTTAGTTTGGTTTCAAGGGACTTTTTAATTTCAAACAAGGATCAACAAGTTTTGTGTTAAAATTAGAGGAACCACGTTGTAAAGATCACTTGTTGGCTACTAAACACATGTGCATATTTACATAAATTCTATACAGTTATGTTAGGGTGCTCACACTATGAACTAATTTATCATTGTGCTCAATAAAATTTAGACACATATATACCCTTGTTTTGTATATGGATTTTTTTTAGTAAAGGCATATTTGGTAATTAGGAGGGGTGTGACGTCATCTACATGAGGTGTGACATTACCCACATGAAGCATTAAATGACACTAGTGTTATCTATGTGGGTGATGTCACACTCCATGTGGATGATGTCACACCCCTCCTAATGACCAAAAATACCCTTATTAGAAAAATGCTCTTACAAACAAAGGGTATAGAAGTATCAAAAATTGTTGAGTACAATGATAAATTACTCTGCAGTGTGAGCACCCTTACATAACCCAATTCTATAATGCATATTTGTGTATCTATTTATATTGGAAACTTGGATCCACTTTGTTACTGCAAAATGAAAACATGGCAAGAGAAAGGTGGTAAGGCGCAAGGGGAGAAAACGTAATATGTGGAAAGAATAGCTTACTTTGTGTCATACAATTGCAATTTAACATTTAGGAACTGCACAGGAAGAGCCAGAACAATTCGGGAACCTCCAGGCCAAAATTGAGCCTTCTTTAGCCACTTGTTGTGACATTGATTAGAAGAATCTTTGTTTTGAACATTGACATTGATTAGAAGAATCTCGCTACTTCACGATATAATTTATCTTCTTCAAATGGTTTCGACACGTAACCATCCATTCCACACCTTGAGCATGCTTCTTGTGTGGCTTGAATTACATCAGCTGTCATGGCTAATATGGGTATATGCCAACGCCTCACATTCCCATTTGCATCTGGTAATGCTTCTCCATGCTCAATCTTATCATTCAACTCATGTTCCATATCTCTAATACGTCTCGTAGCTTCAAAACTGAACCCAAAATTATCAGAATTCAATACAAGTATCAAAAACAGATTTACTTTGAATCATTAAGGAAACTCAAATATCATCTACTTTAAACTTGTAATGCTGATGATGGATATGCTGTACTGTATTTAAAATGCACTGGTAGTTGTCACATGTGCTGCACAAATGACTAAACCAGTTTACTGCTTGACTCTAAAAAGTTGGCAAAAATATATGAGAATATTATTGTTAGTGAACAGCTATCAAATCACATATAAAAGATAAAAGCGAATAAGTATCAATGAAATAGGTAATGTAGGATAAATATTAGATTCTATGGGACCCAGACGTAAAGTTTAGCGCGCACACACACAAACAGGACATATAAAAGATAAAAGCGAATAAGTATCAATGAAATAGGTAATGTAGGATAAATATTAGATTCTATGGGGCCAGACGTAAAGTTTAGCATGCATACAGAGAGAGAGAGGAAGGAGGGGGAAGAAGGTGAGAGAAAGGGCAATAGCAGAGTAGTGCTTCTGTAGACTGCAGACTGTAGATACTACGCAAGAACCATGTGAGAAAATCCTGGATAAAGAACTAATTCACATGCCAGGAATATATCCAGAAAGTCTCATATTTCCCTCAATAACAACATCACTATATAGCGTAAGTGTTTAGCAAAGTAGATTTCGTAGAGGCTATTACATACCCATCCATTTCTGGCATCTGAACATCCATGAAGCAAGCATTGAAGTCATGAGGTGGCTTGAGCATCAACAGTGCAGCTTTCCCACTAGAAGCACAAGCAACACTGGCTCCATACTTCTTCAAGGCACCAGCCGCTACTCTAAGATTCACCAAATTGTCATCCACAACAAGAATCTTCTTTCCTTGCAATAAACTCTTTAATGATGAAATAGCCAGCCCTTGACTCAAATTGTTTCTTTTGCTTCCATAGCCCATACCTCTTTGCAGAGAGGCAACCAACATACTTGCTCTGAGTGGCTTCACAATTACTGTCTCTGCACAACCAGCTGACTTAGCAGAACTTATCTCGGTCGGGCTCATAGACGTGGCCAAAAGAAACAATTTTGGTACGTGGGGGCTTCCATTCTTCCTAGGCAGAAGGCGAGACACATTTGACCCATGAAGCCAAGCCTCTTTGTCAACAAGGACCATCTCAAAAGGTCTCGAGCCATTGGTTAAAGTAAAGAGAGCTTGCCCAAAATCAGTGGCAATTTCAACTTGCAGTCCTAGTCTCTCAAGATGATACTTTGTCACCTTAGCACGCACAGGCCTTGGGTCAACTACCAATGCCCTCATTCCCTTTAGCTCAAATATCCCCAAATCTGATTGGTTGGGTTTATAACCTTTGAACCCATTTGAAGCGCTTTTGCCTCTTGTGAAGACAGCTGTGAAGGAGAAACAAGAACCAATATTAGGTTCACTCACAAACCCAATTTCCCCATTCATGAGCTCGACCAGGCACTTGCTTATACTTAAACCAATACCAGTTCCACCATAGGTGCGAGAGGTGGAGCTATCAGCTTGCATGAAGGGGGTAAAAACCCTAGCTTGAGCTTCCTTGGGGATTCCAACACCTGTATCCTCAACAGTAATGAGCAAATTAATGGAATCAAAGGAGCTTTGGGAGCAAGTCTTTGGAGATAGGCATCCCTCTCTATTGAATGCCTTAAAGTTTTCCCAACTTCTTCTCTTGTCTGCAATAGGATATCCACTCAATGTATTATAGAGGTTTATCAGACCATTCTTTATAGGCCCTGACAATATATTTGGTGCTGCTTCTGTGGAGATCTCCATCAAACTCTCAACCTCCTCCACAAGGTGCAGGGAGACAAAGATGTGCCCTTTCGCTGTGAACTGCAAAGAAAGTTACAATCTTAGTTTTTTAGGAAGCTTTCCAAAAACAGAAGGTAAATACTTGTTTCCATGATTTGAGATTACAGAAAAATATACTACAACACAATCATCTGTTGATGACCATCTTCAATTAGGGTCATCAACATCTATCATTTCATCGGGGGATGATGACACCAAAGAATGATGATGTCATGCAAACTATTGAATTATAGTATATTTTCACTAGAGAATAACATGGAAAAACTATTTCTTCCTTGTAGAAATATGAGGATGAGGATATCCAATATGAGAAGAAAAGAGTACTAACTTTAACAGAATTCCCAACAAGATTAGTAATGATTTGTCGGAACCTTCCTGGGTCTCCTATAAGAATATCTGGGACCTGATCGGAGACATATACTGCTAACTTCTCGGCCCAAATTGTTTGAAAGCAAGGCACATGCATGGATTGAAAGAGATCAGAACCAGTGCAATACATACATTCATCACTTCAGCATAAGCATAAAGGCATAGGGAATGAATAAGGTTAAGGAATCAATATGAAATTTCAAAAGAATATGGTGTACTCATAGATCATAAGGGTAATCACTATCCAATGAAATGATGGACAGTAATGGAGAGAGTGGTACTCATCAGAAAAGGACATAACCCCAATGGGTGGTCCCACACCCTCTCCCAAGCTGTCCTTAGCATCATTGGACTGTGATGACTCCAAATAACTATGGTTTTCCACAGTCCATTGGAGTATAGTACACTTTACCAAAGGTAAAAGATGAAGGAAGATCATGGGTACCTCAATTCCTTTGTCTTGGGATTTCCCCGCAAAAAGAGATAAGATATCGTCCAACACTGCTCGTACATCAAATTGGACAGCTTCGAGCTCAAGCTTACCAGATTCAATCTTGGCCTGATCCAGAACCTCATTTATGAGGTTTATCAGGGCTTTTCCACTCCCCTGTGCAGTTTTTGCATAGTCTTGTTGTGTTACATCTAATTCGGTATCAAGAAGCATCTGCAACATACCTGGAAAGTAAACAGCATATTAGTAATTGATCATGAAGAGCAGATCACTAATATTTTCTCTTTTATCAAAATTCACCCGATTCAGTACCCAATCATTTCAATGAACCCCGACTGTAATAAATAAAATAATCATAGAAAAGCATAACCGTCATCTCTCTCTCTCTCTCACATACACACACACATACATGCATACACACACACATGCACGCACGCACACACCCAAATGTGTGAATCACCCACCTAGCACACCATTCATTGGAGTCCTGATTTCATGTGAAACAGTTGCTAAGAACTGCAGTCAAAGGAAAATTGTGAGATATAGTGCTTCTTTGAAAATAATATGAGACTACTTAAAAATAACTATGCAACACAGGAAAGATTTGAAGAGGCATATGTTACCTGGGATTTTGCCACATCTGCTGCTTCAGCCCTCATTTTGAGCTCCATCATTTCTTGGTAGTCATGCTCCACCTCTGCAATGCGATTTACTGCTGCCTGGAAGATATGCCCTACCAGGAAGGCGATCACAAGGACCCCAACTGAGGTCGTAATTGCTAAATATGGAAAGGGAGCCTTGTGCTTGAATCTGTGTAAGACACAATTAAGAGGCTTTATCATTCTAGAGAGAGAGAGAGAGAGAGAGAGTTTGTAATCAACCTCCCTAAACCACTATTGTCGACCAGCCTTAGAAAGGGCAAAAAATAGCAACAGTATTACATGGTTAAAAAGAGATTAACTATAAAAAAATAGGGACAATATATTACATAATATGCAGTAAGGCCTCGAGGAAAGGAAATTTTACCAACAATTTAGTTGATGTTTTCAGAAGCGCCTATATTTCCCTTCCAGTTTTACTTATTATGAAGGCCAAGCTTTCTAACATATTTGCCATCAAGTCTTCAATACCCACATAGACTTGCCACTAACATAGTCTAAGAAGCAGAAAGTTTTTGACCCCCAGCTATGCACCAAACTTCAACAGAGAAAATACCTTATAATCAAATGAACTAGGTCAAAACTGTAGTCCATTGGGTTGTCAGCATCCATTGAAATGATGGAATGTGATCAGGAGAGAGTGGAACCGTAATTTGGATTCTGTCATGTTCTGGCAGGTCCCAATCTCCCTCCATTGCCGTGCATCATTTCAATGGATGCTGATGAACAAATGGACTGCAGTTTTCTTTGCTAAAATCATCTTTAGAATGTCAAACGTGCCATAGTAGTTGCCAAATGCCAACAAGTCAAGAGTTAGTGTACCTGCAATGCATCTCATGATTCCTGATTGGGTCCCCAAAGTTAAGATTGCTAACGTGGTGCATACTATCATCTACCATATCTGGATTCTCTGAACCATACATACTAATGGGAGCTGAAGCATTGGTGGTATCATAAACATTCACGATGATAGTCTGTTTACTTGATAGTTGCTGCAACAGCTTCTCTACCAGAGAACCTACATCAAAAGCTCCACCAAGATACCTGTTCAAATATTAAGAATATCAGTAGCCTCTCAAAGATCCACTTAATTGAAGAGGCCCAAGGCATCTAATATGTCAAAAGGATATAAGGAAGGAGGTGCTCAGGAGTAAACAAAAAAACAAAAAAATTCATGCTTCAGGCTCATTAACGTCAATATTCAATATGAAATCAAAATAAGATGAGTTAATTAAAGCATTATAAACCATTAGCATGCCCCCAAGTAAGAGTAGTGTAAAAACTAAACTCATCTTACTTGGATGGCATCCTTGAATCCCAAAAGTAAGAATAATCCAGAACTAAAATAATTCAACAAAGAATAATCCAGAACTAAAATAATTCAACAAATAAAGAATAAAAGAATTAACATAACCAAGAAAAGCAACAAGATAAAATAAAGTCATTTTACTTAGTTGGCATCTTGAATGCTAAAGTTCAGTATGTCTATCTAGAAATTTAGAATTACAAAAATATAAAACCTAAAAAAGTTAATAAATGCCCTCAATTTGACTAATATAAACTTAATTTTTGGATCAATTCTAGCAAACCAATCTCAAATTATAATTCTCCAATTTCAACATCGAGTTGGAAGCTCAGCATAAGTCATATGACGTACCCCTCAGTTGCATGAATGCGTTCCATGGGTGTTGCATCAGATGGAAGGTGTTTCTTATACACAGCAAACGTTAAGACAACTCCAAGCCTCATGGATTTAAGAAGTCGAAAAGGACTTGTAAGGACCCCCTTCCCAGATGCTCTAGCTCGTAGGACATTCTCACGGTCCTCCTGTATGCACAAGATGTTCCCTTAAAAGTAAAAGCAACAAATGCCTTTTTGTTCACTTTGATGTATATAAAAAACTTAACTGTCATAAAGGAACAGGTAAAACAATGAAGCTCATCGACTGGTTCCATAAAAATAGTCATAAGCCAAATAGATCCCCCATTTTTTAAATTTATTTGTTGCAGATTTTAAGAAAAAATAATCATTTTGTGATCAAATGAGAATATTGGGCCACAGGTTAAGTAGGTTATTACTTCTGATAAGCATGAGTTAATGAAAATAAATAAAAGACATAGGTTTATCAAACTTAAATTTCAAAAATAAGGATAATACTCTTTCCTGTTTATTTGGCTTTCATTTTTTCTGGGATGATTTGAATTCAACCTCTCATTTACATTTTCCTTTCTTCAATTTCCAGAGAATTTCTCAATTAATTTGTAAGAAAACTTAAAAATTTACAAATAAACCTTGCCTAGAAATCCCATGAACAAGATCCATCACTATGCTAGTGCCAACTCTACAAGTGAATATTCAAGCATCATATCTCCTTCAAATCTAATAGTCATGAATTGTACTTGGAAGCTTAAGGAGTCCAGCACATATTGGAAATTGGATCAGTTGTGATGAAATAGAAAATTTTATCAATTTCAAGTATGTAAGATGGCTTCCTGACAAAGGATTCACCTTTCCAGACATCATGTCAAGAGAAACAATGTGGGAAACGGTGTTCTGAGCAAAGATAACAGGAGCATATTCATCTTGCACAGGTGATGGCTGCTGCTTTTCAGTGAAATACTCATCATCTGGAACAGGTGCTTGGTCTTGAGCATCCATTCTCTTAATAACCCAACCTTGTTGCCTCTCAAATCGCTCCCTATCAGAATGAAGCACTTTCACTGCATAAGCGACTCCACTGGTCAGGGGCCTCTCGAAGGCAGTTCTCTCTGTGTACTCTGCGAAAGTTCTCTGAATATCGACCCATTATCAGTAGCATTCATGGCTTCTAAACGAGAGATAAGAAAAAACTGCAATGAATTATGACTGAATATTCAACTGAAAAAAAAAAACAAAAAATATTGATATTAAACACGAAGGGGGTTAACAAATCATGCAAATATTCCATGTCGATTGAAGGACAAATTGAGTAACAACTCTTTTCCTCTTCCGGGTAGCCAAGAAAATATATCCAATTCTATATTTACTTCCCATTTCTGTTAAATCTCCATTTGAAGTTTGGAACTTCAGTAAGTTGGTGTAGATGCAGGGGAAATAATTGAGCCTTTATCGTGAAATCAGATGAAATCCTAAACTATACTGGTACACCCAATTGAAATTTCAAGGAATTATTCAGTCCTAGAAGGCAGCCCAAAGATGAAAACAAACTTTCAATTCTACAAAACCAAATTCAACTACCCAATGACCAAATAAAATAAAACAAAACATGAGAGAACACAACTCATATCCATGCTTTGTCCTTTCCAAAACTAGAACAGAATTTCTCTTGGAATACAAAAAATCTAATCAGTCCGAGACTTCTTTCCAAGTAATCCATGGAATGTCTCAAGAAAATCATCATTAAACTTTCAAATCTAAGTCCATTTGAACTATCCTACTCAACAAACATACTTCACAGGCACACACAACCAAAATAAATTATTTTTTTTTGAGGTAACTCAGCTTCCCAGTAAGAATTTGAAGATAGAGACAGAATGACACACATGCTCTGAGAAGGAAAGAGGAGCGAGGTACCTGATCGATGGCAGAAGGATTCTTCTCATGGTGAAAAGTTGAAACCAGAATGGCTAAGGCCCTGACATGGTTCAAGCTCACATTGAACTGGTCCTGCAACATCCTGGCTCGCTCATCACACATGCTAGCAAGCATCTCTCTCCTTCTCCCAACACTTTGTCCATGCAAATACCAAAATACACAAATAGATCCCAGTAATCCACCAATAAGCCACAAAATGAGAAGCTTGTTTCTCCATGTCCCTCCAACCTTAGAAGAAGAAGAAGAAGACGTTTTCTGATGCGAGTAACTCTTTAAACAACCACCAGTAAACTTTCCCCACCATTTTAGACCAGAATTTACAGACCCACCCAAATAGCCCGCCTTCGGCTCCACGATTTCAGCTTCAATGAGGAAATTCATGGTGAAATCAAGCAAAACCCACCTCCATGTCCTTGAATACCAACTAGGAAGCTTCAGATCAAGATCCAAAAGTCCCAGATAACTCATTCACAGTCTTGAGCCCAATTCAGGCTCTGAAACTCCAACAAAAATTTCCTAGAGAGAGAAAATGAAACAGTCTCAGGCCGTGTTTTGAGAAATTCATTTTGTTTCTCCAACATAACCCACTTTAGAAACCTATGACATGACTATGAAAAGCCAATTAAACCAACCGCATAAGACTATACGGTATTGTAAAAAGAGGAAAGAGATAGAGAGAGAACAAGACCAGCGCTGATCATGGTCCCAAAACCCACAATAGTTCCTCAAAAAAATAAAACCAACAGCAAAAAAAAGGCTTCTGATTTGACCGTATAAATTCCTACCGAACTTACCCAACAAGCCTCCGGAAAGAGAGAGAGAGAAAGAGAACACTAAGAAAAAATCTGATTTTGAACAGAAATTGGGGGAAAGAGAGAGAGAAACTTGGTGAATACACCTAAAAAAAATGGGTATTTCTCAGAGTAGAGAAAGAGAGAAAGAGAGAAACTTGGTGAAGCCACTCCTAAAAAACTTGGTATTTCACAGAGATAAGGGGAAGAGAGAGAATGTGTAAATTCAATCATGGGTTCGCAGATTCCACTATTCAAGTAACAACTTGGTCACACTGGAGAGAGGAGAGAGGAGAGAGAGAGAGAGAGAGTATAGAATACTGGTAAAAACTGATGTGAACAAGAGTTGGCTTTAGAGAGAGAGAGAAAGCACCCATGATGAATACCTGTAAGAATCTGAACTTGAGACATGAAATGAAAGCAGAGAGATGGGATTATATGCAGGAGGTTCGTTGCATGGAAGTTTTGTGCCCCAGTTCATAGTCTCTCTCTCTCTCTAACTCTCTCTCTCTAAAGCTAAAGATTCTGCAAAGGAAAGATGGTCTCGTAACAAAACACCCCATTATCTTCCCACCAATATCAAATAAAATACAGTAAAATTAACATATTTTAATCATTTAAAAACTGAGGAATTAAAGAACAAAAAGAAGGAAAGGGTTAAAAAAGCATCTATCCCACTGAGCTGGGAGCATTCAGACTCCACTCAGAGTATAACCTCCACACGCTAACGCTACCCACCATTATTATTCAGGCCCTTCGTCATTCTATATCCAATTAAAACTACATAACATTTTTGTCCCCATTGTTACCGAATTTTAATTTTAATGGAGTTTGCATGACTTTATCATGCTTCAACCACCCATTAATCTCTCTCTCTCTAGACTCTCTCTCTCTACGCTCACAAGTCAGAGTTCTACGACCACTCCTCTCTCTCTAGAGAGTCGTTATCAGTTCTCTCTCTTCTTTCTCTCTCTTTACAGCTGTACTCTATCTCTCCTATATCCATCCCTCTCTTCTGACTAGAAAGAAGAATAACAACTTCAAATTTGCACGGTAACTGCTGTATCTATTCGTCAATTATTTACGGGGTAATTTCTTCTTCTTTTTTTCTATATTATTGGGTGTGGTTTCTATCTTACCTCTAAATTCTATAATAATATTTAATTTTGATGTAAAAATTTTTACGTTTATCTCAAAATCTATTTTTATATCTAATTATAAATTTAAATTTAAAAATAATTAAAATTCAGTAAATCTATAAACATATGAAAATCTTGAAAATAGATGGTCAAGATAGTGTGTTGTGAGATGCAATATTTTTGAGACTCAAAATCTTTTCTTTTTTTCATATCCATAAATCTCGATGTCGAGATGATCAATTCGAGAGAGTTTTTCAATATTAAAACAACATTTTCCAACCAATTTTTTAGGTGTATCTTTAATTCTACATTTTAAGGTTACAACTTTATATAAACTTGTTATCCAACTCTCAATAAATAAAGCACTTTTAATTATTATTTTTTTAAGTAACTTGAACTGCTACATCAAAATATTATTCAAAAGTCAAAAATAAAAGGGTGGGGTTTGTATAGAGCCGAGGCTCTAATCAATCAAAGTAAAGCACATTTTCGAATAATGACGAAGAATGTGGTTTCAATACTGGAAATCTTTGTGATAGCCTTAAAATATATTTTCGTCTTTAATTATAAAATTTAAATTTTCAAAAATAGTGTAAATTGAACAGATCTATAAAAACTTAAAAATTGACAATCCAAAAATACGTTACAAAATACACTATTTCCAAAATTTGAAATCCGTTTTTTTTTTCATGTTCACACATCTTGATGTCAAGATGATCAATTTGACGATATTTGGGTATCAAAACTAACATCTTCTAGTGAAAATTTTAAGGTGGGCTCTAATTTGATTACTTAGAGCCTCGGCTCTATATTAACTTTTTCCTTTTTTTACATCAGTTTCTGCAAAATACTATTCCAATGTCAAAAATAAAAAGCTTTTGTCTTTCCAATTTTGCCATTTCCCCCTTCGACGGAGCAGATCTCCAATTTTTATAAAAAATAAAATCTAACAATAGGGGATATGGAGATATTTTTTCTATTTTTTTTTAATTATTAGATTCAAATTTTAGTAACGACGGCAAATTGTTTCGAGTGGATGACTCTAAAAAAATGTAAAAGACTCAAAAAGACATAGATGGAAGTAGTGAGAACAAATATGGTGACTTAGAGTCTGAATAGGACATACAAATCGTATAACCAACCCAAATAGTTGGGATTAGCGGTGGCAACGGGTCGGGTATGGGTCGGGTCAGGGTGGACCCAAACCCGAATGTAATCAGGTCCAGGTTTTGGACCCAGACCCGACGGAAAGTTGGACCCATACGTGCACCCATTGGGTCCTGGGCCATCTCGTCATGTCCTAAGTCTGGTTGACAGGAAGTTAGACCCATACGTCCACCCATTGGGTCTTGTGTCTATCCGATCATGTCTTGGGTATGGTTGGGTCCATTGCCACCCTCACAATGAGGTTTTTTTTTTCCCCCTTTCTTTACCTTCCTACACCCAAATTATTAGCAAAAGATAATAATCACCTACCATTAGATTTCAAGCAGTCTTTTTTGTCGTTAAATAACTAAAGATGATTAAGAGTATTTATTGTATACGTTCCTTAATACACGTAAATGAATAGGCCTTGAAGTATTTTATCTCTCGCAATTTACGGGTACGGGTCGGGGTTCAACCGAACCCGGACCTAAACCCGAATAATGCTTGGGTCCAGGTTTTGGACACAGACCCGACCCGTCAGGTCCCAACGTTGGACCCATACTCGGACCCGGTCAGGCATACCCAACGGGTCCTGAGTCAGGTACGGGTCTATTGCTTCCTAGTTGGATAAAGTTCGAATACTAACAATGATATAAGATTTAAAACTTATACTCTTTTATAAATTTTTAGATAAATGGGTTTCCAGTCAAATTTTTTGAGGAATGTGACTTGGCAAACATTTTGGTAATTTTATGTTCGACTCCAAATCAATTAAAAGTATTTTTAAAATTTTTGAAGTGAAATTCTTATTTACCTTTATATTTTCATTTTGATTTCCTTATATTTCTACAAAATTGGCTTTCAATTTTTTATATTTCATTCGTTCAATCATTGTACGGTTTAGCAGAGACCCGAGAAGGCCGCACCGAATTTCGTTTCCAGACTCCACAAAATTGAATCTAAAGTCCTTTAAATTCCAATTTCTTAAGGACTAGGAGTATTTACGAAATTTCGAAACAAAGCTAAGGCTATTTTCGTAATCATCTGGTCCTAGCTGTTCCGAAATGATTAGCTCATCAGTGGGCAGCAGCTCTTCCATGATAACGACAGGCCGGCCATGCCAGCGTGGATCCATCCACGTGGAAAGATGATATCCGTCAGATTAAGAACGGACAACTCCTCGCCGTCCGTGAACTGGTGCAAAAGTCCCTAAAAAAAGAATCTAAGGTTAGCTCTCGTGAGCTCGCACTTGCCAACAGATATTTGGCGAAATATTGCGAAACTTTGAATAATAATTCACCGGAATTTTGATATTCGGCGATATTTGGTTTATTACCAAACTTATCACTAATGGAAGTGTGAAAGAGCACGTGCAAAAGAAGTTATGTTCGTGGGACCCGCTGGTTTGGCTCTATCTTGGAAACGGACGGCTGTGATTGCAGGATAGATGCGTCATGTCATCCGTCCATCTTGTTAACGATCTGACCGGGAAAATGACTTCTAACTCACTTCCACTTCTGAAATACTAAAATAAACGTTATTTGTTGTTTAAATATGGGCGAGGTTATTACAAGGTTGCCTCGTTTTTTTATTTTATTTTTTATATTTTGACAAGGAATTTTTATGAAAAGGATGATGTACGAGCATCATATTACGCATTTGGAATCAAAGACAAAGAAGGTAAAATTATTTCGAAATTGGCTAGGCGATCAGCAGCAACATTGGCGGCTCGATAGACAGGACAGAAAAAAATCTAGAAGCCCAACCGGAGAGAAAATATCATAGATCTTTAGCCAAAAAAACATAAAGAGACAATGAAATCCTTTGCTTATGCTTACACCATTTTATAACATTGAGAGAATCGCCTTCAATTACAGCTCCCATAATACCTTTTGTTAGCAATAACTTCAATCCTTGCAAAAGTGAACAAATTTCAGTCTGATTAGCCGAGGTGTTACCACAAGGCACAATATAAGAGAAAATAACGGACCCTTCACGGTCTCTTAATGTGCCATCAAATCCGGATGGACCTTTGTTACCTAGGGCCTGGTAGATAACTGGAAGTTGAATGTCTCTTGAAAATTGGAAGTTCTTCTTTGTTGTGAAGAAATACGTTATTTAAGGAAGTTTTGAATATATATATTTGATAACCTGCTGAAATGTTAAAGAAGTTCTAGGTATATGTGTTTGACACAATATTGGAATATAAACTCATGTTTATTTAAATTTTATTCAAATATTATTTAAATATTATATTTATATTAAACATAAAGCAATATATAATAGTTATTGTATTGTGAATATCTATTACATACATAAAATATATTATATAACAAAATATATTATATTTTATAGTATGCAATATAATATGTTGTTGGTAAAAAATATATGTATAATATGCTATAGTGTATTGTATGTATCGATTGCATAAATAAAGTATATTATATGACAATATATATATATATATATATATCATAATATAATATAGTGTATTTGTATTTTATTATATAATATATGTTATCTATATTATATTACATATAATTCAAATATATACTAATATATTACTATATTAATAATTTAAATATGAAATATATAAATAATATAACATATAATATAGTGTATTTATATTTATTTTATTATATAATATGTAATA